AGGGGTGCCTGAATGCATGTATATTTGCTTTCAAATAGCTAGACAAAAATCAAAAGTTTTTTGCACGAGGTTTAGGAGACAGAACAACACAGTTTACATTGGGGGAACACCTGCTTCAAAGCACATCATGAAAAGAGCAAAATAGATAAAGCCTTTTTAAGGGAAGCCTTGCAATGAAGTCCAGTTTTCACAGAGGACTTAGAGCACTCCAACATTTGCTGCAAGGGTAACACAGCGTGATGGAGACAATCAGATTTTTGGAAAACAAAGAAGGCAATTGCTTTACACTGATCAATGAGCCAACAGGAATGTGAAGGCTGATGATAATCTCAGAGGCAAAGCGTATGCACCCTGACAGAAGACCACTGTACATGGAGGAATTAGTGAAGCACACCAGAGTTCACCGGAGGTGGACCAGGTTCAGCTGCCTGGACTGCAGGACAAACTCAGCCAGGTCATTGTACCAGAGGAGCAGCATCTCCTATGTACCATTGTAGCAGCATCTGAAGCTACATAACCTGCATGGCCTTGCCTTTATCTAGGGATGTAGCAAGAAACTCTCCTCAGAACATCTTTCTGTTTCATAATAGAAGTGATTAGGAGTTTTCTTTTAAAAGAATCTCATAATAGTTTGAATAATAAAAATAGTGAAAAAAACCTTCTTACAGACTGGTCTGCACAGTGTGCTGCACTCTGATCAGAGGCCATTTTGATGCTGCACAACTGAAGATTCCAGCATCTAAAGGGATGTAAGATCACCTGTTCCATTTTTACTTTATTATAGTGAAGGTAATACTCAGTAAAGAAGCAGCACTTTATATTACAATTTACAGAGTCTGTGTGCCTTTCTTATGGGTATTACAACAGACCAGCATCACCACTATGATAGTGGAATTTAAGATTCTGAAAGAATTAAGAGAGAGAGACAATAGAAATACAACCATGAACTTTCAAAAGAACAGATTTCACCTTGTTCTAGGATCTGCTTAGAGACAGCCCTGAAGGGCAAAGGAGTCTATGAGGGCTGGTTGTTCTAGAAGGATTACTTCTTCAAAGAACAGCAGTGGCCATAGGAAAATTTTCTCAGGTTGGCCAGCATTGGTAAAAGGGGAATTCCTGACTCTGCTCAAACACAAATAGTGTGAAGCATGAAGTGAGTCACCTGTAGAAACAAGACAAAACAAAACAAAAGTTTCAAAGGGAAAACTAAGAAAACCATGACCCTGCTGGTCTGTAGGGATTCTAGTAATAAAAGATATGAAAAAGGCTGAGATACTAAAAAAATATAAAAATCAATGATTCTGCTACATATCCATAATCACTGTATTTTCTAATGAGTAAACTGTACCTTTCTTTAAGGGGTCAGCAAATATTTCTTCCATGTATTCTGAGGCAGATAAATAACTTAACAGAACAAAATGCAAGAGCATCACAGAAGGCTCAAACAAGAAAAAATTATGTATTAGGCAAAGAACACATTGCCTGGAAGTATTAAACCTATTCCAGAGGTTATGCTTCATTATTCTTCAATGCACTGAAGTGTCACATAATTCTAACTAGCATTTCTTCTTTTTTGTTTTTAATATGGGAATTGAGTGGTGTTTATCCTCAAAGAAAAAGGTCTAAAAATGCCTCATACTATTAAGAACCACCAGACATGTTTCTAAAATAGAAGACAAAGAAACCGTCTCATTAGGCAGGAGATATTGTACATAGAAGAACAACTGGTACCAAACTTCTAAATCATTAAACTGCATCCCCTCTGACTCAAGGCCTTTGGTAACACACAGCACACTGCAAGAGAAGAAGTCAAGGAGATTTCACCCATTTCAAATATGCTTTTAGAGAAACTGCATCACCATACACCTTCCTGCATACCTGGCTGATCTAAAAAACCACCATCAATCTATACATACAAATATATTTATATAGGCATAGAATCATAGAATGCCCTGAGTTGGAAGGGACCCACAAGAATCACCAAAGTCCAACACTTGGCTCTGCACATGACACCCCAAGAATCAGAGCATTTGTCTGAGAGCATTGTCCAAATGCTTCTCATGGTTTGACTGCTCCTATGAACCCAACTTCCTCTCCAGCCTGGCTGTGGGGTGAGCTCTGCCTCATCCTAAAAAACAACCCCTGATCCAGCATCATCATCCTCTCCACCTAGACAAAGTCTCCACTGATAGAAGGCATCTAAGGATGTACTCATCTCATTTTTACAAACTCTACTTGCAGTTGCAATTGTCAGTGTTCCTCCTAAAAACACAATTTATTATCTCACAGTGTAACATTTCCTTTTCACACTGGCTTTTGGCTTAATTTTTTTCTTTAGGCTTCTTTCTCCATGTGCCCCTCTTTGGAAACCTATGGCTTTACCATAACATCTTCCTATCATATTATTGCCCAACAACTCTGCATGAAGCAGCAAGACCACTTTGTAAAGTAAAATGGATACTGGTTTTATTTAAGGGCAAACATTTGTCAAGTCTTAATCATCAGCAAAGATTCTTTTCCTCAGCCATAATCTCTGACACTTCTGAACTGTTCAAGCGGCTTTTCTTTTCAGAAAACAGCCAAAATCCAAATAAGCCAAGATTTTTTAGTAGTTTGTAACTATCAAATTTATTTCCAGTATTTTCAAACACGATGCACTTCAGTGTATTTCCTTAGGAAACATCCGCTGACTAAACGAAAAAATAGAAAAACCTTTTCAGAACATCATCTCTGCTTTTTTTCAACATTATTTGTATTAGCTTAGCATCAGAAAAACACCCTCAGATAAACAAGTAATCTTTATGCACAAACCACAATTAGCAGTGAAGGATTTGGGATAAAAACAGGCTGTATAATAATGTAAACACAGTCATTCTAGAGGAGCTGCTTTAGCTTTTCTGGTAATGTTCCCTTAGCAAAGGAAAAACACATAATAATGACAAGGTATTTGTTCCTTATGCCATTCTCTCCTACTTAAATCTATATACACATGCCAATGAAATGCACTGAGGTAAAAAGCTACACATTTTCTGAAGCACTAGTGGATTATATGTTGGAAAATTGTTGCAATTAGGGCTGGCTCCTCATTTCACACAAAATTTACCCTCTCAAAAATATAGTGGAGATATATTGACTTAAAATTACTGGGAATTTGATTCTGGCGTATTACCACTATTTATAAATATTAATACAAATACTTCTACATTCAAAAGTATGCCCACCAGTAGCCAAACAGTAAAATAAAAGCCAAAAAAACCTCAAAAAACAAAAAAAATGCAAACAAAACAAACCCCAAACCATACATCCTTGCATTTCTAGATAAGTCTGTTAAGACGGTATGAAAGTGTATTTAATCTTTGTTTACCTATACAACTAGGAAACGCCAACATTTAGCTTTTAGACAGTTACTCTTTTTTATTTTGTAAAATAGATAGGTCATAGCTCTCAGAGGCTTGGTGCAGCTTGTTTTAAGTGAAAATCACAAATCAGATAGATGAAAACAGCAACATACCTCACTTTTATTTAGATCTCCAAAAACTGGAAACTCTAAGTCTTAGTAAACCCACTTGCTAGAAGCTTAAAGAAATACCACTTTGTTTTAAACCTTTAGCACAGCTGTTTCCATTCAGATGAAGCAGTAGAAAAAAAATGGTGCAACTACCAAAAAATTTAGATGCTCATAAGGAAGGCAGCAGTCTTAAACAGGCTGCTGGAACATTTTCCTCCGCTAAAGAAAAGCCTTTCCTTTCTAGTCATCTGGTGTGCTGCAAGGTATTCTCATAGAAACCTGGACAACAGATTACCCAGCCAATATATCATACTTTTAGAGTACTGAACTCTTTTGCATGAGCGTGAATAGACATGCACAGCTTAAATTTCACTCAGCAATGCAGGGAATCCTAGAAACTTCTTGAGTTTGGGTGAGGTTACTTCCCACAAAGAATAGAGCTGCCTAGTACAAACTATCATCACTACCCTGGTGTTCTCAAGCTACTCGCCCTGAATTTTCATACTATAATTATCTAAAAAGACCCAATTTACCTAAGTCACCCTATTGACTGTTATACAGCTCCAAGCTCAACAAGGTTTCAGCTTGAGATAGAATCTAAAGTTCCAAATTCATTTTTACCTTTTTTTAAGTCAGCACAACAATGTAAGACAGACCAGATAGAGCCACACAACGTGTGCAAAAACCTTTCTATGTACATGCTAAAAGCCACCATAGGAACATAAACTCTCTGCACAGTCCTAACTTTTTAAAGGAAAAAAGGTATGAACTACATAAAAAGACATTTATATATTCTTGGATCACTACAATTCTATGACTCTGAAATGCTTTGCTTCAAAACAAAAGAAGTTGTTTTGTTAGATGACTACACTGCAGCTCCGAAGACAGCAAAATAGTTTGTGTCAATTCCGTGTTGATAAGCAGCAAGTTCAGATACATCCAACTTCCACCCTAGTTAAAATAGCACAGACAGGTTGCTAGACTTCATTTTTGTATCACACAGTTTTTTTCTTTCCTTTTTAACTTCTTCCTTTTCCAAATTAAAATCAACAACCAAAAACAAGTCACTGCTTTCTTACTGCCATTTGATCATCCTGCAAATGTCAAAATCCCTCATGGACTCCCCTTTCTCTCCCCTGCCACTTCCAAGACAGCTAACTGCTTCTACAGCAGTATTTGGCAAATAGTTTGACATTCTATTTAAGACTGCTTGAGCATAAATTGTGTTCCACAACAATTTTTTGGTCTCTTTTTTAAAAATTCTCTTAGTTGAAGTTAATAAAACATTGGTAATATTTCAGACAAATATTAAACACAAAAAATTGAGATTTGGTACTAGATATTTCCCCTGAAACTTGCAATTAAGATTGCTATTAAGTAACTGCCTGCAAGAAAAAGTCCACCCTAGATGCCATGTCTCATACATATTAACATGTTAGTTCTCATCTCACTCAAACACCATTTCCCTCTGACTTAAAAGCAATTCACTTACCTTGTGTCTGCATTTAAGTACAACGCCATAGGCTCCTGAAACAAAGAAGATGAGAGATAAGCCACCTCAAAGCAGAAAAAAAATTAAAGTGGCAAGATAAAACAGTACTCAGCAACTTTCTAACTATAGAAATAACATTGTTCCCAGTATTATTATCCAGCACTTGGATATACAGGAACTAAATCTCTGTACACTGAAACAATTTCATAAAAATTGCTCAAAAGTAAATGGATTTTAAAACATTGAAATTATTTTTTAAAAAAATGTGCTTGCAGATAAGTTTGATAACTTGCATCTCCCTAGTACTACTAATGAGAAATCAATATATTAAACATTTAAAAGGAAAAAAAAACCCAAAAAAACCCACATCCCAAGACCCCACAAAACTGTTCTATTTCTATTCCCTTCCTTTCAGCTTCCAAACTCCTCCATCCATCTGACAAGGAAATTAGCACAAGCTATAGATAATAAAACACATATAAGAAAAGTTTTTCAGTTGATAACTTATTATCTTCAAGAGGACTAAGTCAAATCTATATAAAAGTCTAATTAATCTTTTATTAAGATACTACTTACCTTCACCTACAACCCCAAGGATCTCAAATTTATTCATCACATTACCAATGTTAGGAATCTTCATCAAGACAAATTCCTCTTACGGTGAGAGCCACAAAACATGGCACAAATGGGACTGTCTGAAGATTCTGCAAAAGGCAGTTGTGAAAAGGCTCTTGGAAAACAAATTTCCACCTTGATCAGACTTCTCACACCCTCTTTTAATTTCTAGGCAATCAATAGCTTCCTGGGGAAAGAACAGAAAATAACATAATTAGTACTTTGATTTATTTCAGTAAGACAAAGCAATGTATATAGACATCACACCAATATAGTCTAACAGACAATTAATTTACTTCCACATTTTATGATCAGGAGAGCTTAGCAGCAGGTATAATGGACAGAACCTATTGAGACCATACATCTGACACAACAGCTGGCCTTGTAATCCTATACAAAGGATGTCTATTAGAACAATAACTAACTGGCAGAAAGCAATTTTCTACAGAACAGAAGCAACAAAAATGTTGACAGGAACTACCTCAGTAAGCAAAAACAAGCTTATAATTATTTATGGTCTGCCTGGTGTATGTTGACAGGTAGATACAAAAACAAATTATGTTTAGTTAATTTCTTATTTGTCCATTGTAATGATAAAAAGGATATGGCACAAAGAACACTCTACAGAAAAAAAATAGCTTTCTACTACTATTTTCTGTGATTATTAAGAAAAAAATTTAAAGGAAATTAATTTGCTAAACTGACTAGGAATGATACTTAATTATTTCCATTATCAGCTTATTTAAGAAATGTGATAAACAGAAAAAATGTTTTCAAAGGGTTTTTTCCATGCTCCCCAAACACTGCAGGAATTTTTCAAATTAAGCAACTATACACAGGGAAAAGAACTACGTTTTTTGGCCTGTTTTAGGCTCACCACCCCTCTGCTATCCTATTAGAAGTTTGATAAACAAAACCCATCAAAGTTTGGTTTTACTAATTCAGACTGCATTTGCTCCCTTAATATTAAAGGCATGTATCCCACATTCAAAAATGGGGAAGGTAAAACCCTGAAATGGTTACAGCATGAATTGGAAATATGTCATCTTTACAATTCAGTGATTCAAGACCAGAACTACTCACGAAGAACAAGATGGCAGGATGGAAGTGAATACATTTAATTAAGTTATGTGTAATGAGTGAGTGTGACCCCATAATGCTGGGTTCAGCTCACACAAATGGGATCTCACTATAAACCAGGGGTGCTGGCCAAAAGCCCAGTGCTGACCAGGTCAGCACAACAAAGGGACAACCCAAGGGTGGAGGGGAATCACAATGACATTTGCTTCAGCAAGACACAGGCAGATCATGTGGGGAGGGCTTGTTATTTTAGAAGCAACTCCAGAGTTAATCAACCACAGTAACTTGAAAATAAAGCAGTGAGCTCCAAATTAAAGGGATAGTGAGGATTTTATGGTTTGCTTCTGTTTTGTTGTTTTTTTTTTTAAGCTGCCCAGTCCTTTATTAATTATTTCAGTGGTTTAATTTACTGTTTTAATTAATCAATTTTTTCTTCACTTGTGAATTGTACAAAATACTCTTTCCTTTCCCTTCCATATGTTCTCCTCCTATTTCATTTGGCATCTCCTTCTCACAAAAGCCTTTTTGCTGTTTGTCCAGACTTTCTGGTTACAGTAACGAACCAAAAGAAATGAGGTCCTGGAAAAACAGGAGCATCTGTTCGGTTGCACCCATCAGCGTGAGAACAGAGCCTGCACTGAGCTGCTTCAGCTTTCTACTGAAACAGACTGGTGCCAGGCACAGGGTGCAGCTGACTGTCCCCATGCTGTAGATGAGTGACAAAATACTGCTACAGAGACCTTGAAACAACCATTAATGCCACTATAATGGAAGCAAGACACAACAAATTCAGAACAGCAAAATTACTTGCCAGAAAGAAAGGAAAAGTCAGAAAACATATATTGTTTTCTGTTAGCACTATTCAGTAAAATCACCAAATCTGTAACTTCAGTTCTCAACATTATTCACTGACAAGTCCTTCCAGAAATCAGTTTGTGATAACATTAGCAGATAAGTAATCAATTTATCATTGTACACTCTCATTCTGCCTTACAGTGTACACAACACTTCCTAGATGTTTCATATAATGAAACAGTGAAGAAAGGTATGAGATAATGTACCAAAAACTCAAGAAGAAATTTAGATGGAATTTCCTGTCCCTCATTCATAAAAATTTCTAAATTTCTCATAAACTACTTAAAGCTATATAGGCCTGCAGCTTGTGATCCACTATTGTAATTTTTTATTTTCAGTTCTGCAAGTTTATTCAGTATGAACTCTAGCTTTTTATTGGGAATAAAGGTTAGACTTGCAAGCACCTGATCCTCCTTTCTGAATTCCCCCAGCTAGGAAGGTTGTGGATCTCCAAACCCAGCAGTGTGAAAGGCCAGGTTGGATAAGGCCTTGAGCATCTGTCTAGTGGGAGGTGCTCCTGCACATGGCAGGGAGGGTTGGGAGAAGATGATCTGCTTTAAGGTCCTTTCTAACTCTTAACATTCTATGATTGTATGAAATTCAATACTATACATCTTCTCCCCACCAATGAAGTATCAGTTTCCTTTTCGCTTTATTAGAAGAGCCACAGAAAGCTGATCCCCTGCCACCCCTGGATTCATGGCACCTAGAGAAGCATCTGCATGTAACTCCTTAAAGGTAAAACCCTGCCAACTCACTTACTGATGTACACTCACCATTAGTGACACACTTGAACTGGCCCAAAGAAACACACAAACCAGCTTCCCTAATTCTCCCCAAAGTGCACCATGACTGACCAACATCATGGGTAACACAGGGGGACTCCCAAAAGAAAATTGCACTCGAGTGACCCACCTCTTTTACACTAGCTCCAGGCAGCTTTTTGCCCAATTCAGCTGAGGGCAATTTCTGAAAACTTCATCTCGAAATGAAAAGGAAAGCTAGTGAAAGATGACTAGTGGCACACAGCAGTAGTATGGATTCATACCCAAACACTTTTTGCCCCAAATCTTTTGCCTCAAACTGGGCCATAATTCAAATATTAATGAAGTCAGATTAGCTAGATCCATTTAATCTCTAGACAAAATTTATATGCTCGTTTGAGATCTTTGCCAACAAAAGATGCTGAAAGATTAAAATCAAGCTACCATGTTAAAAATATTTATTCAGCGACAGTACCCACTATTCGGGATTCTTCTGCTTTTTGAAAGGCACTGATCTGAAAGGCTGGATTCTTTCAAGCTGAACACTGGAAATAGCAAGGAAAACCTAATAGCTGCCACAACTTAATTCTCTGCACTGAGTGCCACACTGGTCTGTATTCCTAAGTTGCTTGTTGGCTAGAACCTTTGCAGAAGTGGAAAAAAGGCCACCATTTACCTCTCAAAGGCTCTCAGTAGGGAAATAGCAGTCATTCACCTAATATTCCTTTCTAAGGCAGCCAGATTCATAGCACATCAACAATTTATTAATTAAACCAACATACCTCTGAGATGCTCTCAACATTACTTTGATGTTTTACAAAACACAGAGCCAACTCAGCAAAATGAAATGTCATGAGATGAACAAGAAAAAACTAGTTTTATTTAAACCAGAAGTGTAACAGTGTGAGACTTCAATACAAAAGTAGCTGTTTTGCAATAGCATGTTAGGCTTATATGTAAATCCCGGAAAATATACAAACGTTTTTGAAATGAGCATACAGAATACTACAAGCATTATGGTACCTGATCATCTGAATTTAAATTAAAGTAGTGGGGAAAACCCCTAGCTTTTCCACAACTCCTTTTCCCTTCAGGACCATTAAGAATTCACCCAAAAGCATCAGACTTAACATTCAATCCAAAGCCTCAATCGTAAGTAGAAATGCTGTTCTTTATTTCATAACCTTCAATACCAGGGTGGAGAAGTGAGGCACTTTTTACATAGTTAGATTTTAGTAGAGACACTTACTGAGAATTATGAAACACGTGAAGTAGATGTTTGCCTTCACAAAATGCAGAGAAGTAAAACAGTTCTAGAAATAAAGTTAAATTTGTATATCTTTTGTCTTGCAAATCAAGTATTCAGTTAATTTCATTTATCATGACAAAAAGAATATAACCTGCATCCTGCTGAACTTAGTTACAAACTTCTAATTGACTTCAAACTCATCTGTGAGCTTTTAAACAAGCTTCTTGCCAGCAGGTAATATATCCCTCTTGCTCTTCTAAAACAAGAAGTAAACTTAAACTATTTATTTATTTATTATGTTTACTCACCAAGAGGAACAACTAAGAATTTCTAGAGGCTGGTTTACATTTTCCTCTGTGCACTAAGAAACCAGCGTGACCATACACAAATGTGAAGAACTTATACTATACCATCTGTCTTTGATGGTTATGTATTAATCCACACCCTGGCATGTCTTCTGTCAAACAAGGTATGTGGATGAAAGAAGCGTTAACCACTTCTGTTAGCAATGATGCATCGTTCAGCACCTTTACTTTTCCTCCCCCATATACATGTAGCTCTATTCTTTGAGTTTTTCCAGGAAAACTCTAGAGTTACAAGCACCCAATTCAGTGTTACAGCAGTATATACAACTGACAGGGTAAAGAAAATTGGTGAGGGTTTTTTCTGGATTTATTGATCCAGATGAATATGTCAGGATTATTATGAAGAATTACTGATCAGAAAGAAAAAAATTCAGTATATGAAAAGCTGTAAGGAGGAAGCAAGCAGTAACATTCTGACTTAAGGAATAGAGAGAAAAACAATACAATCATACTGCAAGTGACATTGTACCAGTCTCACTCCTTAATATGGAAAGTAAGTTACCACTTTATTTTTCTATTTTATGGAGGGACAGTACAACTTCAAAGTGAGACAAGATTCTGCAGAAAGAGCCATCAAGATTTCACAATATGAAGAAATCCACAATGAGGAAGTTGAAAAAAAAAAGCTAAAGAGATAAAAAGCAAGAAGAGCTTAACAATTATAGCAAGCCATTTTTCATACTCTAAGCTTCAGTATATCCTCCCCTGCTCGTAAGAAAAAATTAGGAATGAAAAGAACAGCTGGTGTCAAACTTGAACAAATTATGTAAAAGCAAAACACCAAGGTTCCTTGCACTAGCTCACAGGTTTCAAAATTCAGATCCAGAAAGCTTTTCTTCACATTGCTAACTAATATCAATACTGGACCCTGACTTCACCATTGCTGGTTTTTGAAGAACTTGCTTGAGGTTTTTTGGTTTGGAGTTTTTAAATAGCTGTTGATATACTGAAACCTGCAAATGCATCTGAACGATTATGCATCAAGGGAAGGCATCACCCCATAACTGGCCTAAAGGGAGCAGATCTCCATGGCCACAGGGCCAGGAGTGTATGAAGGAAGAACCTGTACAAAGTTCTCATCCTGCAGCAAGCAAACATCTAGAAAAAGGATGAATCAGTTCCCAACTATTAAAGATACCTGTTTGGTTGAATTTCTAAAGGAAAACTGAGTTTGAAGGCCAGGGCAGCAATAATGATTTGGTTTGTTTTATCTTGTTCTATGAGGGCTCTTCCTTTTGTATCCAAGTACAGATTCAAAAATAAATTCAGCTCATCCTGGATATATGAACTAAATTCACTTCTCTGAGTTAAAACGCAGGATTCACGATCTTCCCTAACAGCTGTGGCCAACTCAAAAAGAGTGGGTGCTTAGCAGAATGCTTCTAAGACCATACTGACAAATAAGCAGACTGATTATGAAAGCACTGAGCACAAAAGCAGCTCCCATGAGT